GGTATTTGTACTATATTCAATTATTTCCTTAAATATCCACAACTCTGTCCTCTCTTCCTCTCCCTTCCTTTTCTCTCATCTTTCTCTTCATCCCAATCTTCTTCTCTCCTCTCCCTTCCCCCTTTTCCCTCCTTCTTCCCTTCTCCTTTTCCCTCTCCATCATTGAGTTTGGTACCTTCAGAGAGGCCATCTGACTAAGAATGATTGTGATGTTGAGACCTTTACAAAGAGAGCGTCAAGGCTGAATACTGCTGGAGCATGAGCAAACAAATCAATCCATGTTGGATAATGGAGCCGAACATTCTCACCGTCAGGGGAAGGGAGTGTGTGTGTGAGAAGGGAAAGATGTATGAGGACTCGAGGCTGTAGGATCATAAACATAGAATGGCTGCAAGCTCATTTTCTCACTACACAGTGATAGATGAAGAAATAAAGATCCTACTTGGAACATTGGAATGTAACTGCAGATTTGTACACGCACATACACTTTTACTGAGAAGGCTTTGGGATTGGCACACCCTTACAGTCTTAAGCCACAAAATCTAACGTCCAGGTTTTGGCTTCTCATTACCATCCTTCACTAAGTCAAAACAACAGCAAAGCAGAACTTCTTGAAGAAATGGCTGATCCAAGGATTGACCAGAATATTATTCACCAGAAAGTAGAGCATATTTACCAGGCATGGAGGCACATGTCTTTAATCCATGCACTTGGGAGGGAAAAATTAGAACACACCCAACTATGGGTGTGTCTGTATCCCTGAAATCATAGTACCCCAGCTTCTGTGTGCACATATGGACATACACATAGATGTACAATCCATTACCAACATGGGGAAGGGTCAAAACGTTTAAAACTAGGCGCATATCTAATAGCTTTGCAATGGCCATGGAGAAATACTGCAGAAGAATATTGCCATTGAAGTATTAAGACTGAAGTACAAACAACTAAAGAAAATGGTTGATTTATACTTTGTCAGAACTAAACACTTTTGTACTCAATAGTCAAGACAGAGTCAAGAAGAACAAAAGAAAATTCTCAGACTGGGAGAAGATGCTGTGTACTGTCTATCAGACAGGCAACTACACCAGACTCTTTAAGGAGTACCCAAGATAGTTCTCTCCTCAGAGAATGAATTTAGAAATCTTTTCCTATTTGAAAATGTTTTGATAGTTTGAAAAGAATGAGTGAATTCTTTGAGTGTTTTGTAGACTCCAGCCTTTAGCAGGTCCTGGCCTTTAGCAGAAAGGAATGGGGTGCTGGAAAATGCTACAGTGTAGATAGGTCTTGAAAACATCATGTCAATTCATTTACATGAAATGTTCACATAGGCAAGTCCAAAGAGACAGAAATCAGACAAGTGTTTTCCAGCACATTGGTGTATAGGTAGAGAATTGAAGGTGACTACATAATGGGTATGCAGTTTCCCCTGTGGTTAAAAAATTCTTGATTTAGATAATAATGATAATATATATTATATATATGTGTATGTATACCTACTCTGCATATGTATCAAAAGTCCACTAAATTGTTCACTTTGAAGTGAATAAAGTAGTGATTTTTGTTACATAAATTTGCCTTAATTTAAAAAATTTAAATGTTGGAATCATATAGTGATATGAGAAAAATATTTACCCATGAAAATAATGTTACCAAACACTGTTGAGTTTAATCATCCAGGTTCATTAAAACTAATCTTGCTCAATAGGTAATTATAGAGACATTTAACATCAAGCTGTCTTGGGAGTCAAGCCAGTATCAGGAACCATAGTGATCTAGTCTCAAGATAAAAATAGAATAGGAATTTCAATCAAATTAGAATCCTTGGATGTCAAAAGATACTTACATTCATAAAGTAATGAGTATCAAGGGGCCACTCTCGTCTAGTGGGGGGGGGCAATGCCCAGTGTCTGGATTTGGATTTAGCTCTTGTCCTTGTTACCTTGGTAAAGTCTTTCATTTAATCTTTCTGTCTCCCTTCCTTCCTTCCCTCCCTCCTTTCCCTTCCTCTCTTCCCTTCTTTCTACATTTTGTTTATCTAGTGTCTGTCTGGATGTATGTGTGTGCACTTGTGCATGCCATGATCCATATATGAAGTCACATGATGACTGTCAAAGTTGGTTTTCTTCCTTCAGTGTGTGGGTTCTGGAGCTCAAACTCAAATCCTCAGCCTTGGCTGCAAGCACCCTTACCTGCTGAGCCATCCCACTTTCGGGATCTCTATGGGCTAATATTTTGTATCTACCTACTAGGGCTTCAGGGAGAGTTAAATACATTCATAAATACAAACTGATTTTCACAGAGACTGGCCTATTGATTGTGCTCACTAAATGTTAACAGACAGAACATGGTTTTACTATCCCTGATCATGTTAGCCACCCATGAGCCTTACTCCTGCCTCCCAAATATATTCAAAATCATCCCCCACAAATTATTTTTCTCTAATTATTACCATGTACTTTGCTGGTGATAACAAATCTCTTTCTTTAAAATGAACCAAATGAAGATAAGTTTGGTTTCTTGATTTTTACATTCCAGTCAACACACAAAATGACCAATGAAGACTTTGCCTCTGTAGAAAAAGGAGAAGTATGTGTCTTTGGAACCTTAAGGAACAAGTCTTTCTGTCTAGAAAAGTCAAACCAGCCATATCCAGGTGGTAGGGAAACGGCCTTATTGATTTTTGCAACAGTGAACACATATTTAATGTTACTATGTACCAGCCAAAGAGCTAAATGCTTTTACATTGATGATCTCCTTCAACCAGTCATTAAAATTGTGTCTCTCAGGCTGGGGAGATGGCTCAGTTTGTAAAGCACTGAGTTGTATAAGCAAGAAGACCTGGGTTTGAATCTCCAGAAACCACTTAAAGCTAGGCAGGATGCACCTGGAACCCCACTACTCCTATGGTGAGATGGGGGCAGAGTCAAGAAGCAGCCAGGGAGACTTAAGCATGGCCTACACGGGAGTAACAGGGAGTCCGTCTCAAACAAGGCAGAAGGAGAGGACTAAGAGCTGGGGTTGTCCTCTGACCCACACACATGTACCCTGGCACACATGAGTAAGAGCTGGGGTTGTCCTCTGACCTACACACATGTACCCTGGCACACATGAGTAAGAGCTGGGATTGTCCTCTGACCCACACACATGTAACCTGGCACACATGAGTAAGAGCTGGGGTTGTCCTCTGACCTACACACATGTACCCTGGCACACATGAGTAAGAGCTGGGGTTGTCCTCTGACCTACACACATGTACCCTGGCACACATGAGTAAGAGCTGGGGTTGTCCTCTGACCTACACACATGTACTGTGGCACACACGAGTCCACATTCACACACACTGCACAATGAAAGAAATGTGCTTTGCTAATTTTCCAAAATTTCTACAAAAATATAGTCTGTAATCAAAGATTTCATTTTATGTAAATATATACTTACAGAAGTAAACCTCATTATGATCGAAGTCAACACACTGGCAATTCTAGCAACTACAGCAGTGAAATTTGTTGAAAGAATTATAGATGTGTTACCTGAAGAGAGAAAACTCAAGGTGAGTTAGACATGTTAGCTACCTTCTGATGTTTCAAAAATAGTCTGTGGGAAGAGGAATTGAACTTGGTCAAATGTGAGCTATGGTCTATGAGGGAAAATTCTAGGGACTTTTTTTTTTGCTTGATATAAGAATGTTCTTTCAAAAGTATTCTCTCCCAAATGGTAATTCATCCAAATCAACAAACATTTAGGATGCATGTGTCCAGAAGGACATTTTTCAACTCTGAGGTGTTTATTTAATTCTGAGTTTATATCGATGAGATTAAGCAGAGAGAAGAGCCAAATCATCACACACACACACACACACACACACACACACAGAGACAGACAGACAGACAGACAGACAGACGAGAGAGACAGAGATAGACAGAGACAGAGACACAAAGACAGATGGACCCACAGACACACACGCGTGTGTATGCATGAGGGGGAGAGGGAGGGAGGAAGAGAGGGAGAGGGAGACAGTTTTAATACTATTATTAAAAACCAGTGAAGTGGATTGATTCTAGATGCAAGAAAAGGCTCAACTATGTAACAACGAAAAGGTGACATGACACAGGACTGATCTCTATCTGCGATTCTCTCCTCTTTCAAGTTGTGTTTCAGGTTGCATGGCCTCCATACTCTAATCCTTCTGTGTAATTATGCTCTTTTGCTGTGAGATTCAGTCCTGCTCCATCTGTGCCAGCACTAGCCACAGGCTTCCTTATCCTTGAGTTGCATAAATTTGCAGAATCTTCAAATGGTTCATTTTGATGAGAAGTAAATCTTTCACTTGTAGCCCTCCTTTACCTTTGGAATACAAGCCTCCCATTTCCTAGCGTTCCACTCTGTCTCACACAGTAGGAGTCCTGGAAAGCCCAAGTCCTCTGTCCCTAGGTCTGATTCCTGCCCTGGCAAAGCTGTGAAGCCGGCTTAGGACACTTTTTCAGTGATGTGGGCAGGGCGCACTCACCGCCCCAGCCAGAGGGCGCCAGCACCCACCAAGCATAGCCGCTCTTGAGCACTCAAGAGTGACTTCCAGACAGTTCCCCAGTTAGCTAGCCAGAGGTCGACCTGTAAGAAAACAATCCCCCAGTCCTGTCTGCCACAGTTTCTTCGCTGCCCATTTATTTTTGTTCTTGTATGCACATGCTTAGCTCCAGGAGAGACCCCACCCACCCCCACCCACCCCGCCTTGACCCTCAAAAAAGGCCCTCACCCGGGTCACTTGAGCAGGCAATGCCTTTGGGGACAGGCTTCTGTGTCAGATTCCTGCAAAGGGTCGAGCTCGCCCCGCGATCTGTAGAGGGGTGTGCAGCTGAGCGCAGGGTGGGAGCCCAGGAGGTGGAGGTGGGTGGGGGACCCAGAAGGGTGCCTGGTCAGGAGGGAGGCAACCAGAGGAGGCCAGGCAGGGGCTTTAGCTTCCCTGGGGTCTGATTGGAGGTTGGCCGATGAGTCGAGCTGGGGGCGCGCCCATCTCCACTGGCTAGGGCGAGAGAGTCGCCGGCTCGGCCCCTCCCCGGAGCCGCTTTGTCCCGGGTGACGGCGGCGGTGGTTGCGGGAGCACCGGCAAGAGGCACAGCTCGGGTGACCCCGCGACCCGGAGAGCGGGAGGCGGCGCGCAGTGCGCACCGCCCCACGCCCAGGCCCGCGGGCACTGCGCTCGCCCCGCCGTCAGGTGAGCAGGCAGAGCGGCGCCCGCAGCCTTCCGCCCCAAGGACCCCAGTCAGCCACCACTGTCACCACCGCCACCGCGGCGCATCGAAGACGCCCTGCAGGTCGGTTACATAACGGCGCAGGCCGTATCGCCCCTGTACCCTGTCCCACCAGGGCTGAACGCCTGGGTTCCAGGGGACCTGGGCAGTGGGAATGAAGCACCGCGGGGTTTAGGGGCAGGGCTGGAGCAGCTGGAGAGATCTAGTGGCTAGTCCCCGAAGCATCCTTGGGGACAGTTCTCCCATGGCCCCCTCTAGGAGGCGCTCATCTCCAAGAGCCCCCTCCCCATCCCTACCGGCCAAGGGTCCACCTTCCCAGGTGCAGCAGCAGATGCACAGGATTTGAGGATTGGGAATAACTATAGTAACCCCCAGATTTGGGCTTAGAGAGGGAGTTGGGGTAAACCAACAGTTCAAAGAGCAAAGGAGAAAATGAGGAGACCCCTGTCTTCCCAAGCTTGGCCAAATTTGTTAGGGAGGGAGAAAGGGGTTTTTGGACATAGCGGGCTGAGAATTGTCCTGCCTGGGCTTAGTCCGCTTGGGTCATCTAAAAATAACTTCAAGTTTGAAAAGTGACATGGACATGAGCGCGGTGTGCCGGGTTCGTCGTGCCTGTCAGGTTCTTCTCTCCAGAAGTCATCAGAGGGGACTGGGCAGTTTCAGCTGCCTGATTCCTCTCGGCTCCCCCTGGATCTCGTTGGTTTCCAGGGTGCCTCGGTTTGACTTTTGGTTAATGATTTATTCCTCCAAGGCCTTGCTGTCTTTTTTTTTTCTTTTCCGATGGATTTAAGCAGACTACAGGCTTCAACACTCTCCTTTTTCTTACGCTGGGGTTGAAGTGGACAGCAGAAGACTAGTATACCCACTGCCAAAGCTATGTCTTAAAATCCTGCTCGAGCAAAACCAACAACATGTTACTTGTTTGTCTGTAATCACGCAATCCTACGATTTCCCATGGATGGAAATGAAGGGATGTGCGAGGATTCCTTAGCCAGAATCCGTGTATAGAAAGACTTTAGGAAGAGTGAGGTATTTTATAACGCAACTTATTTTTCACACCTCCATTGTCCTTAATTACAGTAAGTTCAAAATACAGGACAAGGCAGTAGTGGCGGTGGGTTAGATCTCGCCGGCCAGGGTCTGGGCTCCAGGATATCATGAAAATGGACGTGGGCAGTAGGTAGGATGAGTCAAGAAGCAGGCCAGCATGGGCTGTGGGTTGCAGGACTGAACACGCAGCAGCGTCTCAATATCCACATTGATTTCCTTTTAGCCTTGTGGAGCTATACACCACCTTTGGCCAGTCTCTGAGCTCACGTATCCTGAAATGTGAGCTGTGCTTGGCTTTCCAATCCACTGCAAATCGAATCGGCGTTTACTGAGCACCTATTACCTGAGTCTGGTCCAGATGACATGGGGAGGGCGGAGTGTCCTCAAACTAAAGTGACCGGACTGTCAGATCTCAGAAAACGCTTAGTGTGTGTGCGTGTCCTTCACAAGCCACTGGGAGGATGCAGCTTTCTCAAGCAAGGGACATTTACCAGAAGTGAGAACCCGAGAGCTTTCTCATTTCCAAATACTCATCACACTTGCACAACTGTTTGCAGATAGTCAGGTGTACTGCGGGGACTGGCGTTCTTTTTGTTGAGTCCAACTTTGACAGTGATCAAGATCTCATTTTCCCACTTCTTTAATTCCCATGCCAGTTGACTGAATGGCTATTTATTATGGACCTACTGTATGCTATGCAGGCTCTGTGCTAGGAGCTAAGCAAACAAACACTAGGTCCTTATACTTCCCAGAAAAGGTTCTAGCAGAAAATAAATGCTAGTGCTTCATCATAGCAGGCATTTAATGCAGAAAGGAGCGAGGTCAGTGGGAGCCAAGAGATGGGAGAGTGGAAGGAATCTAGAAGAGTCTGCCAGAGAGTACACATTTGGACTGGGTCCCAGTGGGTGGTTGGCGTTCTGGAGAAGCCACTAGGCATTCTGTGTAGAAAGAAAGGTTATGCTCAAGAGCACCTAGTTATGAGACGGCAGGGTAGCAGAGCCGAGGAGGTGATGGTGAGCTGGGGGTTTCGATTGTATTCTATTGTAGAGGAGAAATCATGCAGCCTTCAGGACGAGAAATGATTTGATCTCATTTACATTCTGCAGAAGTGACATTGGAGGACAAGGGAAGTAGGGCTACAAAATGCAAACTCAGATGTTAGGCATCTGGTGTGGTTCAGGCCCCCTCCACTGCCCACCCCCAAGTCATGAAGTGTGCATGAAGCAGGTGCCAGGGGCAAGAGAACCAAAATCTGCAGAGAACCTTTCTAGGCAAATCGGTGGCGCTTTGCCACCAGGTGAGGACTGGGGAAGGAGGAGGAGCTTCTGTGTGTAGAGCTGTGTGGTCAAGCTTTAAGTGATGCTAGTTTTCGAAGGATTGTGGCTTTTCCTTTTGACTATCCAGACAAGGCACTTTTGTTTACAAAGGTGGCTTCTTCCTTCTGGAACTAACTGCCTACAACTGACTATAGCTGTCCTTCATCCCCGAGGCTATCAAGTGTTGCCTCTGGGAAAGACGGAAGCAAACTCTCTTGGTGGTAGGATATTGTCTCTTCTTTTAACCCTCAACACGAAAATGTCAACTCTGTTATTTGGATCCTGCTAACGGTAATAATTAGAAGGTGTGGCATCTATTCCGTGCTTATGGTTCTCACCGGGTAACCTGCAGCTAACCTGAGGTGGCCCTGTTGTTAGTCTCATGAAATTGTCAAGGAAACCAAGGCTAAGAAATAATAGGTTGTCTAGAGCACACAATTGGGAAGAGGTGCACCCGGTGTTGGAGCCCAAGTCCTGAGCAGCATTGTCAATCATTGGTGTGAATTGATAACATGGCAATAATCCCTTTCCTATGTTTGGATACCTGTGGCCAATGCTACAGAAAAAAACTGGGCTGGTCAGGAGTCTTAGCTCTTCCCTGGGTTCTGGGTTCTGTGCTTGATATACATATGCAGTGAAACATTTGTAAGCTCACATTTCCTCTCAGGCTTGGGCTATTTTAGTTTATTTTAACATTTACTTTTTAAGTGTGTGTGAGTGTGTGTGTGTGTGTGTGTGTGTGAGAGTGTGTGTGTGTGTTTATGTATGTGTGTACATGTCTGGGGGTGGCTGCAGAGGTCACAAGAGAGATAGGAATACATTGGAACTAGAATTACAGGCAATTGTGAGCTGCCTGATGTGGGTGCCAGGAACTGAACATGGGTCCTCTGGAAGAGCAGCCAGCACTCTTAACTGCTGAGTTATCTCGCCAGGCTGGGTTAGTCTGAATCCGTGTAGCCATGGCAGAAGAAATTGACTAGGTACTCTGTGAGTACTCTCTGTTCTGAAGTCCTGCCATCCTGTTCCAATGCTACAGATGTGTGCTGAGTTCATGCCTGCATGGGTACCTAGCTCTTAATAGCTTGGTATGGCATAATTAGAAGTACAAAGGTTATGGGGGTATCTAATATTGAGAGGGCTAAGTTAAAGGGGACAGTCTGTTTGGGTACCAAATTAGAGGACTCTGATATGGCCAGTGATCCCATTTTTACCTCAGACATGTTATTTAGGTTCTGAATGTTTCTTCATCATGAAAATAAATCCTGAAGAAATTAGTAAGCATCCTATCAGGTAGCTATGGGAATTGAAGTGTAACAGGAACCAGGTGCTGCATAAAAGTTGGCCTCATTGAAAGTACTCTAGAAAATTGCCCACACCCTGAATCCTTAGGGTAACAGATGCACTGAAAGTAAAATCAAAGTGTTACTGAAGATGTTTTGCTATTCTGCAGTGGTTTGCTTAAAGTTATATGTATATTTGTGTATATATGTCCATGTGTCTGCGGGAGCATGTGCTCACGTGGGCATGATGTGGAGGCTGGATGACAGCCTCAGGTGACATCCTCAGGAATGCCAACTGCAACCTTTGAGGTATGGCTTCTCATCAGCCTGGAGCTCATCAGTGAGCTGGACTGGTGAGCCAGTGAGTCACAGAGATCCCCCTGTCTCTGCCTCCTGGTCCTGGGATTACAAGTGCATGCTGTCACACTGGCATGCACTCACCTTAGCAGCTAGTACAATCCCTAGTGTCCCTACTATGAGTTTCTTAAGATCTACTCCTGCATTGAGTAGTATCTATCATAGGGAGGTGACTGAGATGAGGAACACACACACACACACACACACACACACACACCCATGCACGCATGCACACCTTCTAACACATGACCCAAAGAAGACACAAAGGGACTTTGTTGCCTGTGGAGCCTGGCCTTTCTTTCATTTTTCCTAATTCATCCTGCCTTTGCTTCTAAAATGCTTATTGTTCTTGTTTTGTGGATTTCCAGGTGAGGTATATTAGAGGTTAACTTAATCAACCTAGTTAATGAGTCAAAAAGCCTTTTAAACTCAGCTGAAGATGATGTGGAAAATAATGAATTCTAGTACTTTCTACAAGTTAAAAATGTGATTCCAGAAAGAACTCACATTTCCCACAGTTCATAATGTGCATAGAAATATCTCCTGTAACAGGGAAGGAAAGGGCTGTAATTTCATGTCTGAGCTCTCTGCACTCAACTCACTGTGAAACAATGGACGAAACACAGAGTTTCTATGTTATAGAGTGCATGCACTAGAAGACATTTGAATGCTCATTGTTGGACCAAAGAATAAATTGCGTGCTGTGAATTAGACCCTACCTTTTATAAAAACCATTGTCTGAGTTCTTTGAGGGAATAGCTACTTTTTCAAAAACAGATTTATTCTGCCATATTGTAAATATGCCGAGGCCCTGGGCCACTTCGTAATATCTCTCTTACAATGTTGGAAATGAGGTCTGAAAAGCTTGGGCCTGCCTGGAAAGGCTAGGATTCCAGTCTTGGTGCAGTTACTTCCCAGCTATGCGACCTTGAACTTGCCATTGGCCTAGCAGTTGCTGGAACTGGCATTTGTGCATTGCTGCTCTAGTTGCAACACGTTGTTCAGCAGGCTGTGTGCACCAGCTTCCCCAGGCTTTACAAAACTTGGGGAATGTGTATGA